AGGGGTTGTGGCTGTGAATAGAAGCGTGATGATTTTTTGTTTTTTGTCCATTACAGTATTGTTATTGGGGGGGGAAACTTACATTTTCAAATATTGGCAACTAACTAATTAAATGTTTAAATTACCAAACCTGAAATAAAAACTTACAAAACAAAACTGATAAGAATTATATATAACAAAAATGACTTGTCCATGGCAACTAAATGAAATAAAATTATTTAATTAATAAAACCGAAATTAAAAAGATTATAAAAACAAAACCACATAATAAGGTTTCTAAAATATAAATTTGAATTGAAATGGAAAATATAATATTTATATATTATATTTGTGGGGTTGGTTTTTGTCCATCACAGTGTTGTTATTGTTAACTGAAACTATTCTCATCATTCTCATAAACTGAATTACAGCATAAAATAAAATTAATTTTAAATAAAAATAATAAAATAAAATTTGAAATGTTACCTTAGCAACTAATTGGAATGAAATATTCAAATGACTAAAACAGAAATAAAAATAAAAACTAATAAAAATAGCAAAAGCACATAAAAATGACAAATTAAAACTGGAAATATATATTAAAATCTAATTCAAAATGTTAATAAACACTATTTTAGCATATAAATAATAATAAAATAACAGTGGTCCATTATGCATAATGTTTCTGCACATCTGAGATCAGCTTTACAATAGAGTGCAACAGCAAGGTTATGGAAGTAAAAATCGCATTCCTTTTCTTCATAATGAAATGACACGTCCTGTAGGAGAGGAGAGTTGCAGCAGTGCCGAGTGGCGGTCAGTATGCGCTGTGATGGACCCCCGGACTGCAGAGATCATTCAGACGAGGAGGACTGCGCCGAACGGCCACCATGCAGTACACAACGCCGCTGTCCGAAGAGCCAGGAGTGTCTGCTGGATGAGTGGATATGTGATGGAGAGATGGACTGCAAGGATGGCACAGATGAGAAGGTGTGCTGGGGAATCTGTGCATTAAATGACCAAAAGCACTACATTATGCATTATAAAATGATTAATTTAGTTGTTCTAATCTCAGCTGACCACCTTTTCCATGTGAGACAGAACTGTAAGGAGTCTCCAGTGCAGTGTGGTGAGTTCCAGTGGCCGTGCGCCTCTAACACGCAGTGTATTCCACAAGCCTGGCGCTGTGATGGCACTGAAGACTGCAGGGATGGAAGCGACGAATCTGGTTGTGAGTTAATACAGTTTTGTCAAACTGGAACAGGCTGGACCCAGATAAGACCCCAATGAAAGTTCATCTTCATTAAACATTAGAAATTATTTTAAAGTCAACGTGAAATCAGAATTGACCCTATTTACTTTCTTCAATTCTCCAACCACCTGTCATACAGACTTTATTCATAAAGATATAAAGACAATTCCCAATGGAAAAAAATAAAGGTTTCACTCATTTAATATTCTCATAGACACATAAATGCAGAGCCGATCCTAGCATTTTGGGGGCCCTAAGCAGATTTTCAAAAGGGGCCCCCACTACCTACGGTTTCACCTAAGCACCACCTCCCATCCTTCAATACACGTATCCTACTGACACCGTATTGTAAATTTTTAGAAAATTGTCTTATTTATCTTTCATGATATAAATATGAAGATAAGCCTATATTTCATATTTTATAAAAAAAAGTTACATTTTAAATGTTTGACCATTACTTTCAGAGAAATGTATAAAAATTTAAGATTAATGCTTTAATAAAGCAAAAACACCTGCCAATGGGTTATGAAAATTAGTATTATGTAAATTATTATTAATTATTATTGCTCATAAAAATCTCTTTTATAGATTGGCTTGTTTTAGTCCAGCTTAAAATGCAAAAATATATGTGCAAACAAGCATGAAAATGCTGTTTTGACTTCCTCTGTATTTCTGCGGTTCAGCGCCACCTCCTGTCAGAAAATGAGCTTGCATTTTTATTCAGCCCATCTGCGTTTTTTTCCCCCCCAGATCAATGTGAAAATCAGACCGAGTTTAGTTTAACTGGTCGCTAATATAAATATATACATAAGCTAATATATGTTCTAAAAATCTAAACAATTCGGATAATAAGGGATCTCGAATTATTCTGGTCTTTTGAATTGCCCATTTTAAAATGTTTTTGAAAGGCTGCATTTATGTGATCAGAAATGCAATTAAAACCGTAATATTATGAAATATTTTAACGTAAAAGAACTGTGAATATATATTAAAATGTAATGTATTCCTGTGATGCAAAGCTGAATTTTCAGCATTCACCAAGATTACCTATGTCTGTATCTGATCTGATCTGCAGTAAATGAGCCTCTGGTCTGTGTTTTGACAGGTCCGAGTGTGTCCTGTCCTCCTCATCTGTTCCAGTGTGGTAGTTTGGAGTGTGTGGACACGTCTCAGCTCTGTAACGGAGTCACTAACTGTCCGGATGGTTCTGATGAGGGCGGGACGTGCCAGACAGACAAATGCTCTGAACAGTCAAAGTGTGCACAGGACTGCCATAGCACACCTACAGGCACGGTATGATTTCCTCTTTCTGTTTTAATGTTATAAAATGTCTTGAATATTAAAAACTACCAGTCATATAAAGTTTGACTTATAATATTAACATACACTACAGTTCAAAAGTTTTGGGGTGGTTAGATTTTTTTTTTTATATTTTGAAAGGCGTCTCTTACCAAAGCTGCATTTATTTGGGTAAAAACAAAAAAATAAATACAGTAAAAACAGTAATATTGTGAAATATTATTACAATTTAAAACAACTGTTTTCTATTGTAATAGATTTTAAATTGTAATTTATTCCTGTGATGCAAAGCTGAATTTTCAGCATCATTACTCCACTCTTCAGTGTCACATGATCCTTCAGAAATCATTCTAATATACTGATTTGCTGCTCAAGAAACGTTTCTTATTATTTTCAATGTTGCTTAATATTTTCGCGGAAACAGTGATAGTTTTTTTTAGGATTCTTTGATGAATAGAAATTCATGCCTTTGCTGTCATTTTTTAAATCAATTGAATGCATCCTTGCGTTAAAAAAAAAAGTAATTTGTTTAAAAAATTTAAAAAAAAAAAGTCTTACAGACACCAAATGTTTGAATGGTAGTGTATGTTAACAAGTTTAGGACTTTAGGTTTTAAAGTTTCTAAAAAAAAAATTTTTTTTACAACCATTGACCAGTGTCGGATGTTAATCCGTTACACCAAATATCCCCCCCCCCACCAAAAAAAATCAGTTTTG